AAACTAGTACAATTTTCAATTTGAATTTACAAAAGAATGTTTAACTGAGCACTACTCAATTTATTTTTTGTTGTCAATGATTTATCCTATATATTCTTACTTTTTCAAACTTCTCACGTACAGAAGTGACTTACTCATGATGCGAAGTATGTCCATTTTCTACTAATGTGTTTAAATTTGTAATTTATTTATAATAATTTCGAGTTGTTCATGTATTCTGTCTTTAGAACAATATATTTATGAATCGAGATTTAAACTAACGATGTTTATTTTTTTGGTTTATCACATTGAATCGTGCACTCGATTTAATTTCAGTAACCTACCCAATAAATCGGTTTTTTAATTTTTACATTGAAAAAATAAATAAACATTCTGAAAAAAGGATTTACATTAAAAAAAAACAAAAATAAATATCACGCTAAATTTGTTTGTAATTGTTTGTTAGAGCTCGATTCAAATTTGTAGTCGATCTAGAAATTATTATTATGGTTTTTGCTAACCAGTTATTAGAAACTAGATATTGACACTCGATGAACTTTCGAACATAAGATAAAATAAATTATTACCTAAATATTACCTAATGAAACGTGATGATAAAAAACTAACATAGGTTCAAGATAATTAACATACACATACTGGTAGGTATTTTGCAAAATATATCAATTTAAGTTTAAAATTTGTAAAATAGTAGAAAAAAAAATTACAAATATTTCAGAATCCAATATATAAATACAATGCAGTAATATATAGTAAATAGAGTTTTGAGGCTCGGTCTGGGACGTATGATTTTAGAATAATTTTTTTTACAAATAGTCAAAACATATAATTTGAAACGCTTAATACGTTCGTATAATACACACGTGGCGAAATAATTGAAATGTGCTTTGGATCTGTATTCCTTGGGCAGTACTTACGGCAGATTTATGCCTTATTTTTTACTGCGATTTGTATAGCTGGTAATGATATAATTATAAACGTTCCTCGTTTCCCCGACCTTGAAAATATATTAACAGTTTTTACGTACAAATTATTATTCAAAATTCTCACATTCTTATATATACGAATAGTAATTTCTGTATAGACATAGATATATTTTTGTTGTAACTTTTTGTTTGTGTTTGACAAAAAAAAAAAAATCCTATACATACAGGCTGAACACGTAGAATCGACACTTGAAATAATTTTTGTTCTAGTTAATTTTTTTAAGGTTTTTTTTTCTTATTATAATTACTACATTATTGCGTTATAATTTTTCTATATCAGAGATTCTCAGAGGGGTCCATATTGACCACCAAGTATTTATTATGACCTACAAAGAGACAATTTTGTCGAAAGAAAAAAAAAATTGGCGCATCAAAATGAAGGTAATAAATTATGTTCTGGGGGTCTACGAAAAACAAAATAAGTTTAAAAGTGGTGTAAGGGGAAAAAAAGTTTGGGAATCTGCTATATTTTATATATTTTGAAACAACATTTTGATAATATAAATATTTACTTATAATACACTTCTATAATTTTTTTGAAGTTTAAGATTTAAATGGTTTTCTTTATCATTATTTAGTAATAATTCATTACTAAATATTATCTATGGATTTGTAATTTTTTTCATGAAGACTAGTTTTTGTTAATTTTTGATTATGACTAATTCTTCATTAGTTCATTTTCGTAATCTTTATGTCTAATATTTGTTTAAAATATACTTATATAATATTTTTGTATAATATATGAGACTACCTCTTGGATTTTTTAAAAATAGGTATTACAAGAAAAAAAAACTTAAACATATTGGACAGAACAAAAGTTATTTCATTACACCCTGTATACACGAGTATATTTTTATTTCTCTATCCATTGTATAGTATATGATGAAATAATATTCTTAACTTATAATTAATCAAATAAAATAAAACGATATTTACGGTAAATCACTAAAAAAAAAAATATAAAATTTTAGGTTATTCTGTGAACATTTAAAGTATCTATGCAATTTTATCTGTAGGCTATTATTTCGTAAATATCAATATGAATATTTTTAGTTTGTATAGTCGTTATAATAATACCGGTATTATAAATAACCGGTCGAGTTGGTTTAACAACCAGAAATAATATAAAGAAATTGTAAAATTATTACTTAATTGGATGCCATTCGCATCTACTGTCTCCGCCTTAAAAACCTAAGACATAGCAAATCTGCGTTTAATAGGAACATATTTGTGCCGTTAGTTTAAATATTTTGAGTCAATTGATCTATTACCAAACTTTGGGGTAAGATAATTATCTGTATCGGTGTATTTTCGATATTTAATTTTTAATCAATATGTAAGTACTTGAAATATCACAGTTAAAAAAACCCTATATTCCACTTAAAAATTGAAATATTGAAAAAATATCGAGGTTGGGGGTAGACATTGTTCTTACCCTTAACAAGTTAACTGATACAGTATTTTAATAGCCTTATAGAGTACAAAAATGGTAAACCATTGATATAAATTCCAAAAAAAAAAAATTATTGCCTATCAAAATGTCCCTCAAAGTCAGAGAGTCGAACACTATGTGTACCAGTATTGGTACTTAAAGCATCGAAAATGAAAGTAATCACAGTAGTCAGCTTCTTTGTTTGGTTAATTCACGATAATATTAAAACTATCGGCACAACATTTTTCCTACTGTAAGAAAATTTGATGTGCCGTGCATTTGTAAGACGGATACAGTAGTTGTAGATGGTTGCTGGGGAAGAGAAGCTACAGCCTCCGAAAAATCTAAAAAATAGCGGTTTATATTAAAAAAAGACGGATTTTGAGGTCTTGGAATGGTATGGTAAAAATGTGTATCTTTTTAGTTTTTTCATAATAATTAAATAAAATAAGCATACAAAGTTTGTTTGAGATTTTATAACTTGAAATTCTGAATCTAGAAATCTAGCGTGATAGAACTGTACATTTTTAATATTTTGTAATGATGCTTATGTGTTCTAGATTATGAGTGGAACGAAGAAGCTTTTTGTTTTACAAAGGTGTTTATATTTTTTTTCTGTGTATAATTTTTCTGCCAGAGATCTTGTTTCGATTTTTAAGTGTAGCATCTTGTCTGAAAGGAAATGGGCGTGGAGAGAGACTTTTAGGAGGTCATTTTTCGATATTCTCTGGATTTTTCTCATTGAATGTGAAAAACCGAAAAAAAAAAATTGAAGAAAAACGGAACAATGTACGAAATATATCATTAAAATACTACGATTTTTTTTCTGTGGACAACTTTCCTACCAGAAATTTTTCTTCAATTTACAAAGATAGCACTTTTTCTAAAAGGAAATCAGACTGGGAATGTACTTTATGTAGGTCATTTGGATTTTTCCAAGTGCTTTCTCAGCAAATGTGAACAACTAGGAAAAAATATGGGAAAAACCGATATGAGAAATCGGTACATTGAACAAATATTATTAAAGAAAATATACAATGCCTATTTAATTATTTTATCGTAATATGACATATATATTGTTGAGAAAGCATCACTATTAACTGAACATTAAACCTATACAGTGGCTACATCCATCTCCATCATCTTAGGATAGTTTTTTTTTCCTGGGCTGTACAAGGTCTAAAATAAGAAACTTTATAGCTCGGTAATTTAACACAGACATAGTACTTTAGAAAAGTAATTTCCGTGTTTCACAAATTGATGCACCGGAAATACGACAAAAAACTGATATAGACTAGAATAAATGTAAGTAGGTACTTATATGCAAAGATTTAAATTTAAATTTAGGAACATCTGAAATGCTATAATTTCTGCGCTGAAATTTAAAATAATAATTATTAAGATGTTAAATGCAAAATACTTCCTCAATATCTTACTAACTTATTCAATGTATACTATTTAGAACTCTTAAGATTTTTTTAAATTAAAATTTTTTTACACATTTTTTACCTACATTGTAAAAAAATGGTTATTGGTAAATAATTCGATAAAAATGTACAGTGTTGATACTGCTGATAAGTATGCCACTATTGTAGGTGAAAATTGAGGAATGTAAGATACATACAATTATTTATTTTATATTTGTAACTAATGATATAAATTAATGATATATATTCATTGTTGATGAAATACAATTTCGAGTAAAATTTAGTTTTTTTTTTTATTTATTATTTTAGCATTTCCCTATTATTTTGGAAATCCTCCGGAAAATGAAAAAATTGCTTCCCGAATGCTTTAATTAGATACATAATACAATAATTTGATCTTTGAATTTTTTGTTCCCAAAAGTTGTTTATAAACGGAAAAAAAAACATAAGCACTCATTATAGTAAAACCAATACATCCAATAACTTAAATTCCAGATCGTTGAAATTCAGTTATCGTAAAAAAGATTATGATTATTAAATGGCGTTTCGATTATAAATATTAATATTAATGTATCTATGGATTAATATATAGTGTTTGACGGATTTTTCTTGATGTTAAAAATAATTTTTTTTATTAAATCTGTGTTTTTTTTATTGAGGGAATCGAATGAAAGGAAAGTTAAATTTTTATTTTTATCCTTTAATCACTAAAAAGAAAAAAAAAAAAATCACATCCGATCTATAGTTTCTTAGTTACAGCCGTTTAAATGTCTAGAAAACAGGCGTGAAAGTAATTAATATGTAATAACAGATAAGGAATTACTGTAATTATTGTGATTCCTTATCGGGTTACGTATTATTCTATTAAAAATTAATTACTTTTATACCTAGCTATTTTCTAGGCATTTAAACGGCTTTAACTTAGAAACTATTGATCCGATATGAATGTATGATACATCAATTTTATGAAGTGAATAAAGAGTTATTTTTTTTTTTTTTTTTTACTGATAAGAGATGAAAATAAAAATTTAATTTTTCTTCAAATAGATACCTCCCTCAAACAAAACAAAGACAGATTGAAAAAAAAATATAATTTGAATAACTCTAGAAAAATTCGTCAAATATGATGGGATACTGTATTTGTATATGTATCTATTTAGTTTCTTTAAACATTCCATCTGCTTCTGGGACTTTTTAATTCTTAAAATAAACTTTTGAATTATGCATTTTTTAACGAGAAAACATTTATATTTGTACTTGGTATTTATTTATTATTCAACGAATCAATAAGAAATTTTAATTTAGAATAATAAGTTAACAAAAACTTATACGAGTATGTATACAAGTAATGTATACTTAATTTATAAATCAATAAAATACATCGCAATACCTTTTAGATCTTAACATTTTAATTTAAATAATACAATTATTATATATGATATAGTAAAATAAAACTTGGTTTTAAATAATTTTATATAAATCTAAAACAAAAATAAATAAATAATTTTGATCAAGATCAATCATCTCCTCCAGTCATAACTTCCATGAACTCTATGAAGAAAAAAAAAACAATTATATATTTTTAATTATTATGCTTAATATAAGAACAAAATTAATAAACGTATGTATACCTAAATGATAAATTTAACATTTATGATAACAATTATAATGCAACATAACTAAGTGCATATTTGTAATATATCGTGAAAATACATTTTAAGTAAAAGAATAATACTTGTAATTTATATGGCTTTTGTTAAATTATAAAATGATTATATCGTATAGTAAAAAGTAAATCTTAATTATTCGTTTTAAAATTATATTGTTTTGTCTAGACATTTTTCAACTTCTATTTTTAAATTTAAAACAGTACTTGTTAAACCATTGTTTGACTGCATGTGCTATACAGTAATATGTAAAAAAAAAAAAAAAAATATATCTCACGTTTGCCAGAAATGCAAAAGCGGCCAAAAAATTAAGGTGAATAAGATGTTTAAGCCAACATAGAGTGATTAACTGTTTGAAAGCTAGATAGGTACTTTAGTTTTCGGTTAATTGTGAAAATGTAATAATTATTTTATTTTAGATAAGGTTAGTTAATATATGGATACTTATGCGATAATAAGATAATAAATGTTAGTTACCCTTTTTTTTTGTATAACCATTATTTTTAGTTACACATCCAAAGGCGAAAGTTAATAAATAAAAAAATATGTTTTTATTTATTAAATTAAAGGCGAGATATTTTTAATATAATTATGGAAAAAAATTATCTGATAAATAAACGGAATGTCAACTTCGAAAATAAAAAATAAGGCGTTTTACCTGTGTAGTATTTATAAATTTCAAGCATTTTTTTATATACATAATTCTTTGAGACTGTATATTGACGTTGTTGGTCTAAATGCCAAGAAAGAACGCTGGCATATTTCCAGTTAAACATATCGTTTCACTCAATATATTTTTAATGTTTCTCTTATCTCGAGTAAAAATACGAGTTCTTAAAAGAAAAATAGAATATTTTCGATTTTACTCAACAAATTTATCGCTTTATTTTACGATTTTCGTAAAAATCTATTGAATGGTTTTGTCGTTTTATAGTAGGGGTTATGGTATAAAAATGATAGAGTAATGAAAATATCACTGACATATATTAACCTTACAAATTGATTTTTTTCGACTTGTATATTGTTATTTTTGTATTTTCTATTCCTCTTATTAAGACCTTTTTTTTTAACTCTTTCTACTGGATTAAAAGAACTGTAACAATGTTAAAAATAATTCAATAAACGTCAACATTTGGATAAGTTAGTTAATTTTTGTCTTTTCAAAAATTAATTATTATTTAATCTTTCAGTGTTAAATGATTTTTGGTTTATCTATCTCATAGACTATAATATAATCAAAAGTAAAATATATTGAAATAATAATTTTTGTATTATTATTAAAACAGTGTACTGTTTTTATTGTAAGTTGAAATTTGAGAATTTTCGTATATTTTTGGTTACTTATTTTACTAAGAAAGCAAACCCGTTTTGTAAAATCATGGATTAATTACGTGGAATGATTTTTTTTTGTTTATTTTAATTGTATTTTCAAGTCATGTATAATATTATCAGCTAATCAACTTTGTTTATACAAATATTGAAATCTATATTTATATTTATATGTATTGATAAAAGATGTTTATTTATTACTTATCTAACTCAAAATGAAATAAGTTAATTCTTATCTCTACAATGCATATAAATATTAAATACGTTGGTGGTGGAGCTATTTTACTTTTTTTAATTAGTTAATATATTATAATATGGTAAAATCAAAAGAACATCGAATTTTAGTATGGCGTAACTATAAGCATTAAATATATTTATAAATGTAGTAACTCAGTAAGTACGAATTGAAATCAATACGAGAAAAATATATTATTTTCATGGAAGAAGAAAAATATGCAATCTCCAATTCTTATGTTCGAGAATGTTGATAATAACTGCTGGTCTATCAGTATATTTTAATGTCCCTTTATTTTTTATAGTAAAAAAATTGAAATGTTTACATACCATCGAAGTCTACTGTTCCCGAACCGTCAGAATCGATTTCCTCTATCATCATATCTAGATCTTCGTTGGTTATTTTGTCGTCTAATTCTTTAAGAATTTCTCTCAAAACTGCTGTAGTGATGTAACCGTTTCCTAAGTACGAGATATGACTTAAATTAAAAAAAAAAAAATTAACACTATATTTTTTTTAACCTTCTTTGTCATATAATCTAAACGCTTCTTTTAATTCCGCTTGCATGGCTTCCACGTCTTCTGGCTCATCTTCGGTTAAGAATCCGGCTGCTAGTGTAACAAATTCTTCGAATTCTAACTCTCCGGATCCTAAAAAAAAAAAAACCAATAACAACAGTAATTAATTGATAATTAATTACAGAAATAATTAATTAGCTGTATTAATAGCGACAAGTGAAACGTCAAATATTTAAATATTTGGCTCTTAGATTCTCATGTATCAAAAAATTATTAGACATTATATTAACTATGTTGTATTGAACTTTATTTATGAAGAATTACGAATAAAATAAAAAGTATAAATAATTTTAGTCAATTTTTTTTTTAATACAGAAAGAAAATATGATATTTGTTTGGTTGTAAGTTTAAAAATGAATATTATTTATTTATTATTACGATATTACTGTCAATGTAATTATAGATTATCTTTATAATTACTATAATTATTTAAATTTGATGAAAAAATGAGGGGCATTATAGTAAAACCAAAAGGTATTATTTTGTTAATATCTTTATATCTATAATATATATATAGATTTTAGTGGGAGACGGTTTATTTAAATATCTAAAAATTATAATCTTCAATTGTCTCATAAAAAAAAAAAATTTCTATCAAAATAATTTAAATAATGTTTATTCGAAGTGCTTCCTTTGTGTACTCTTATTTTCGCATTTTAGTTATTCTCATCGATTTTTGTTTGTTTTGAATTTATTACTCAATAGATCAAACATTCAAATTAGAACGAATAATATAAATATTAAGGCGAATCAATTAGAATTAAAATTATTTGGGGTATTTGTATATAAGTAGCTGTTTAGGAATAGCTGATGCGAACCGAACATTTATTTTAAATTTTGTAGAAAAAAAAAATTAAAAATAATAAAAATAAATTATATTAAATAATAATAAAAAAAGCATAAAATATTTAGTTTGGATTTAACGATTTAAATTGAAGATAAAATGTTTTAAAAATAATTGTAAAATAGGGTCCTTTGTAGTTATAAAATTCTTATCATTTTCACCAAATTAGTTTAATTTTATAATCATGGTAAAATTATTTTGCCATTAGGTACCTATGTATTGTAAAATTTTGTTAATCAAGTATTTTATTTTTAGATACAAAAAAAAGCACTTGTGGTCTTTTTTATACGTTTCTGTTTATTCTATAGATTTTCTCTTGGATTGTACTTAAATAACTTGGGTTATTTTTCTCATTCAATTTTTAGTTATGTCTATTAATTTTACAAGAGAATGTGAGAAAAAAAAATGTCTATCCTAGTATTATTGAAACATAGCCAGAATATTTCACATACCTATCAACATTTTTCTGTCTGATTATGTTTCATGCGTTACGTTTTAAGTTTTAAAAAAAGTTTATGCACTTATAACATTTAAATTATACATTTGCATCCGGATATTTTTTATTTCAAATATATAGACAATTTAAAATTGACTAATGTGTCGTTAGAGATAAGTTCGAGAGCTACGGAAAAGGTTTTTTTGTTTATTATGTAATCTGTTAAAATAATATGAGTATATTTTAGTTTTTTAAGTATACGCTTCTTCATTATATTTGCAAATAAATTTTGGATTGCAAATAAATTTTGGACTGCAAATGAAATTTAAATTTAGAGAAATTTAGGTTTGCAAATGTTTGAATAAATTAAACATGCATATAATATCTACTTGTTACACTAATATAATAGTTGCTTATAGTTTACTAATGCATAATAATTTGTTATTTTTTGTTTACAGGTAAGTGTTTTAAGTTATATCAAGTGAACTAAAAGATAGCAAACCGACATCTCGGGTAACTAAAAAAATTAAGATTATCATAAAATACAATACAAATATATGGATATTTTTTGTTATATGGACATATTTTTTAATGGGTTGCATTGGTTAATAAATTGTTTTTAATCCATTGAACAAATTACGTTTATATTATATATAAAACATGAATTTTATTATATAGTTACTATTTACAGCATGTGCCCAGATTATAATATTTAAATTATTGAAGCCAATAGATTTTCGAGTTGTATAGGTTGAAATTATTATCATTATTTTTAGGTATTACTAGCAAATCTTCCTTTCTAAGCATTAGTATTATAAATGAATATATATATATTATAAGGAATACATTTTAAGTTACCGTCTGCGTCGACTTCAGCTATGATTTCCTGTAGTCTGTCCTCGGAAACATCATGACCCAACATCTGAAGGATAGTACCGACCATGTTGGTTTCGATGAATCCCTTGTCCTGAGCGAATGCATCGAAAGCTCGTTTTAATACTATTAAATTAATATTGAAGTATAATAATATCATTAGTTTTTTATATTAAATATATTGTAATTATTATATAGTTATTGAACTAGGTAATAAGTGATATACTTACGAGCTATTTGGTCCTTGTCTAAATCGTCCTAAAAAAAAAAATTTTTTTTTAATAAAATGGCATGGCATTATAACGATTAAACTATTGAACAAATCTTACTTTGGTAACCATTTTTTTTGTTGATTACAAAATTAAATGACAATAGAGCTGTTGTTCTCTCGAGTCAACTAAGTTGTAAAGAGCGGGGCCGCCAAATATTAAGGTGACTAGCAGAACTCTGTGGGACTGATGCATATACAGGCGTCATAAAATTAAGTGGTCCCAAGCCAAGTACTCTAACGGTCTCCCTCCTGGTTTTTCAAGTTAAAATTACGTCTATACGTATTGTCTTTTCCCTTAAAAGTTAACTCTACACATTATATTTTAAATGCCATTGTACAATTTAAAAATATTCGCATGGAAATTTTCGAGTGGTCGTGTAATTTACTATGTGCATTGCGGGTCATAATTTTATAATGATAATTTAAGTATTATAAACGGATTCAATTATTATAATTAAGTATAATAATTATTATTAGTAGGTATAATATTATGGTTAAAGCATATGATAAAATAAACAATAATATATTTATTTGCTATATATATTTGTATAGCATGTCTATATAAAATATATCATGTTTTTACGCGTGGATGTTTTCAAATTTAGAGTTATTTAGTTAAAAAAAAATATAACCATATGTTTTATATTATTAAAATGGAATTGAAGTAAATTTTATAAATAAGTTGTACATCGGACACGATTTTGGCACTTGATTATGGATCGGCTGGGTTTAAATTTAAATGTCATTTGGCGTATATACAATGGGGCCGTATTGTATCGATTGTGGTTATTCACCAAAAATCGTGCGCACATGATTTTCTGTTTTTTTTTTTTGGAATCTGAATTTATTCCTAATATTTCCTCTGAGCTTTATAACAAATATTAGTGTTATATAACACAGTACGTGCGTGTTATATTTTTCGATTAGTATACCTTTATTTTTACAAATTTCTAAAAATTTAATATGAAACTTGGTACCTAGGAAGGTTTTTGATTTTATTTATCGGGATTTTAACAAGAGTTTTTGTATAATTAGACCATTTCACGTGCCGCTATAATAATATAAAGATTATACAGGTTATTTCAACCTTTTTCACGCTTGATACATTCTTTTTTTTTGTTAATCTTTTGTATTATTAATTTTGATGTTTCAGTTCTGATATTTTCGATTAGGTATCGATCATATTACCTATATATTTAAATTTATTTCCGAAACATTCGAGTGTAATGTATTTTAGGCCTTAATTATGGTAAAAATCGAACTTGGGAATAATAATATAATTATATTAATAATATTACTAGGTGTACAATATTAATATTAATAGTCCCGTTTCATTCAAATGGAAGTTTTGGTTGAAGTTTTACTAAACTTATTGTAGTTTTAGAATCTGCTGCAGGTGTATTGTATAATTTATTAAACCTACTTATATACAAGGCTTCTGTGTAGTCTCTTCTGAATGTTATACATTTTTCGGCCTACTTCCCAACCGATTAATGTTTAAATGTATGTATACATTGTACATTGTTAACTTTGTAAAACATATCATAAATTTAGACAATTTGTATTATGTGGTCTGTAATTCGACATTATTGTAAATAAGTGAATGAATAACGCATATATTGTTCTTAATAATTTTATTCCGTTATTTGTAAGTTTACTAAAAACATTTAAAAAATTTAATCTCGTTTTGCTGTTTAGTTTATTTGAATTTATTTGTGAACTATAAAGGGTGAAAATTATAATGCGAAAATCACTTAGAAATATATCGAAATTAACATTTTAAATCATTGATCAACAATTTTTATCACCATGATAAAACGTTCAATATTGTAGTCAAATTTTACTCAGAAAAAAAAACACCATAAAATATTTATTATTATAAACTATGTTGTAATCTATAGTTTAAAATAATTACAACCAGTTTACTGCAGCCTATTGTGTTCAGTATAAATACATTGAAATTTACTGCTATTTTTGTACTCTTTAAGTAGCTTCTTCTTGACCAAAATATCTCGTTTGAGACACTAAATATTTGATATATCTTAACTATGAGAGCTGTTCTATAGTAGAAGGTTTAAAGTCATAAAAGTTGGGTTGAATTTTAATATGAATTTCACTGTGTTATTGCGAAAGGAGAATGTTTTTAAGATTTGAACATCCCTGAAGATTTTTCGAAATTAAAACACGGAGATGTAATTTTGTATATTATATTAGGTGTGTTAACTTAGAACCCTAGCCCCTAACATTTTTATTTCCAAATATTCTAATTTCTTTTATTGGTAATTAGTATAGTTCTTAGTGTTATTATTCTACTCGTAAATACTATGATATTATAGTTTTGTTTTATTCTAGTATTCGGTTAATTATTGTTCTAAGAAGAATATTTCCATTATAATAGAAAATAGATAAGAGAAAATTTGAAAACTTTTTTACCGATTAAACAGCCTGGGAAAATATGTTATACTTTTTTCCGATATTTTAATTATTGTAGAATTCGTAAGCATGTAGTTTTATATATACGCGGCATAAACGTCGGGTTATTGTTTTATTTATTCGGGAGCGTATTCTTCTGTTGTATACAAAACACGTGGATATTCGCAAAAGTTTTCATTTCATAATGTTATGTTCTATATAATTCCGGTTGATTCTCGGCTACAGGTAATAATAACACGAGCCATCGGATATAGTAAGTATAGTAGAAGAGGGCGAAGTTTTATAGTGCATTTTATATAATAATATTTTAACACATAAAACGCGTAAAAACCCTGCCGCACAACGCGCTCGTGTATCCTGTTGATTTCCTACCTCGCCCGTCGGCACCTCGGTGAACCCGTGGATTAAAATTATTTAACACGTTCTTAACTGTACTATCGTACTATATAAATCGATAATAATATTACAATGTAGATAGCAACAACAACAACAAAAACCGTATACCAGGTTTTACCGCTAATACGATTCCTAATATAATTATTAAAGCTCGCGGGATATTCACGATCAGCTACAATTATTATTATCTAATATGTTGAAACGATAGAACAGTCGGGGTATACATTTGTTACTGTGATGTTTATGTCTGTGTAAACACAATTGTTGTATTGTATTATTATACAAGACAATATTATTAGATATTATTATACTATTTCAGTGTTATAGTAGTGGCGTGCTCAGAAATTTCAATAGAATGTAGTAAATGTAAATGATAATCACAGTTTATAAATAAATTGAAGAATTTTTTTCTGTTTTACTTAATGCAACAATAAAAATTTAAAACCCAGATCCAAAAAGCCAATTGTTGTTCAATAAATCGAGTTTTTTTCCCTTTGAAGTTGGCTAAAATACATAATTTTAAGATAAAATTACGGTTTAAGTTTTAAATTGTTATAATTTATTTACAGTTTATTCGAAATTATAGTAGTACGTTTATATTAACATTTTTCGAAATATGTCTTTTTCGAATCTGTATCTATATTTTGAAATTCAAAAGTTAATAGTCATTTTAGGTATAATATAGAGTGGTGAAAGATATATTTTGTAATCAGTTTTAAAATAAAGCTTAGATAAAAGTTTATAATATATAATCGAACAAATAATATAAATACGAATTGTTTTAAAATAATTTGAGCAATTTTGCGGATCATTATACAAAAATCAGTCTGTATATTTTTCAATATATCGACGAGATTGTCGTATATTATTTCTTGTGACAACGAAACTTGTATATTGCTGTATCATAATATAATATCATATTTATGTCGGATGTGAGATATCGATTTTGGGAATCACTATATATAGTTAATAAAAACGATTGCGAACTCGAACAGAGAAATGGATTACTTACTGAAGTTTCTCGATTCGTGTTAGCGAACCTATTTAAAAGAAGAAAAACAATTAGGCCACTTTTGTGTATTCCCGCGTCCGTATTGTCTTTATTCGACTACTCGCCTTGTCTATTACTGCCGCCTACCCAATGGCACTATTATCCTTTGCAACTTTTTGTTCTTGTGGTATCGATTTGTAAATAGCTAAACTCAATATCATCACCAAGGGAGATGAAAAAATGAACCCTACCCCTGATATTAAACGAAGAGCAAATTTTTGATTGTTCCTTTTAGTTATTATTAAAAAAGGTTTTAAATACACTGCATTCGAAATATTTTACATAAAAATTTTTTTTTATTGATAAAAATTTAAGTAATTTGTCGTTGTGTTTGACAAGAAAATAATACTAATATTTTGTAGGTATAAACATTTCTTTCAGTGATTTGCAGTAACGGATTTTTAATATTTTCCTGGGAGGGGTACTGAAAAATCATATGAATTTAAAAGATGTCTCTATTAATAGATCCTTCATTTTGGACAACAATTAATAAAATTATATTATTGTCTTGGGGTCCAGATCTCCTGGATTCCCCTGTAAATCCGCTACTGGTGATTTGAGTAAGTCAGTTAGTCGTTTTTTTCATTTATCCAAGCGGCTAAGAAGTTAACAGTTAATTATTTTTTTTTTTAGCTTTTTAAACTTTTCCTATTTACTTTTCGTTATTAAACGTAAAATTGGATAATTTAAGGTCAAAGTTTGTGATTATTCAGACCATTGTGAGTATTTAATTTGTAGTTTACAAACAAAGTTAAAATTTTAGTTCTACATATTTTACATAACGGCAATCATCATTTGGATTTAGATTTTAAGGCATATTTTAGGATTTTGTAACTTTTAGGGAATTTTTAATTTAATGAATCGAGAATCACGAAATAATTGTTGAAGATTTTTAAATCTTAGTAGGCGAGCTGATAACATTAGTAAGTGATGGTGTTTAATATTATATTATCATTAGTTATAAATTATTACTAATAAATAATGAAGAAATAACATTTTAGAATTTCCATTTCTATTTCAATGTATTGTTCTTTTGGTATTTTTAGTGTGAAATTTTAGGAAATATAAACATTTGTTTCTTAGTTATGAAGTTAAATTTAATACTGTATGTGAAATGTGTCTTAGATATTATTGTAGTTATCATCGTAAATTTAAAACGAAGTTAATACAATAATATTATTGCCGGGACCTTAAACTCTATTAGAGCGTAACCCCCTTAAATATTATGAGTGCATTCGTGTAACTGATGAGTGACATTAATAAAACAAGATTGTGTAAGTACAACAAAACCGCTATTGCCACAACTTTAGCTGGCATTTGTGGCTTTTCTACATGAAATCCTTTTGGTCGCTCGACGAGACGATATTCTCTTAAACGAATGCCATCAAAATGATATACGGACATGTCATCGCGCTTTAGTTTTAGATTCACAAAACCTCTGTAAACGCGTCGTTTAATAACATCAGCCGTTTCGATCTTAAATAATATTAAAATAAAATCTTACAAATCTTTAAAATCAAT